GGACAGATTGCTCAGTTATCCCAGGAAAGGGGGAATCTTCCTCTAGAAATGCCTATAATGGAGTGAAGAAATTGAATTTAGAGAACTGCGTTGTCTCAGTTTCTAACTGCATAATTCCATTTTTGCTAACCACTGGCACAGATAACTGGTGGAGTCTGCAACAGCAAACACTGCTACATTAACATAGTTATTTTACTTCTTAAGTACTGCAAAGACAGAGTGTGCTCCAAGACACTCTATTTCTAGAGTTAAAGGAATAATTCAGGGTTAGTGAGGAGACCATGCTATGTAAATCAGACACAGAAAGTCAGTATGGAGATTATTCAAGTTAAGGACACAAAGGAACTTGAGCAATATCTACAATATCGACATCTGCATGGGAAAAACCTGTTTTAATGCAGCGAGGTTCTTAAGCAGAAAAGCTGTAATTTATTGTAACCACTGTAAACTAGAAAACAATTCAGAACAGAAATGAGTACTGCTGGTAATTGTCTACTGGAATAACCAGCACCAAAAGATGGTGCATTCCTTGTCACTAGATGGAGAGTGGTCATTTCCCTAAAAGGTGATGCTGTAGGTACGTGAGCTGCCATCCTGGGCAGAAATTGGTGAGGTTGTTATGGCATGGGTTACAGCCCCCAGCACAGACTGTGTGCATTTGCAGCTCTGCATCGCATGTAGTCAGAGCAACAAGCTTTTGTTACTAATGAAGAAACCTAAGAAAGGCCAAAGCAAGAGAATCATCTCTGTACTCCTTGTCCTGCTAAAGGTGTCAGTTGTGCTGTACAGCATGGAGCATGGTACAGTTCATGTAAAATTAGTCACGTTTCCCTGCTGCTTCACCACACGCATTGCAAAAATTCCCACGTGAAACCTGGTAGCCCCAAAGAAGTGGCCCAAACTGGTAGAATTCCTCTGGAAATGGAAGGTGCTTTAGATCTGGAATGAAAAAATGAATTCAGTATATTCCTAGTTGGGTTCATGTTTTAGCGAGGTCAAGAAACAGTTATGTGAACAGTAACTGGGGCAGGAAGAGTGTTGTTTTTTTTTTTTTTTTGTATATGAACTGTTCACAGTTGAATGATGACACCAAACCCAGTTGGAGAAGGAAGCAAAATCAAAGTGGAAAATGGTTTCTTATTCTCTTGCCCTCACAACTGACTCCGGTGGCTGGCACTTTGGAAAACTGTACAGATTATTCTAGAAAAGCTGCCTCAGATTACCCAGTCCCCTGATGACTGCCTCAGTCCTGGTATATGCCTTAACCCAGTTTCTCATCCTTTCCCTTGTGAATAAATGGAATCATAGTCTAAAAGTCACAAAACGTACCAGGAGCAGAACAGAAGGGTTGGTGTTACACAAAGGAGTAAAGGAAACAGAAAGGATTTGAAAGGGGAGCAGAGGGACAATTTGAAAGAGAGGAAGTCCCAGGACTGAGGAATAGGGAATGAAATGGTGGCTCCTGGGTGTGACAAGTCAGCTGTAAATTTTAACATGGAAAATTTGAGAGACTTTCTGATGGAATACAGTCACAACTGTCTGAAGAGCCAGAAGCAGCTTGCCAGTATGGGTCAAAAAGTTAAGAGGAAGCTCTTGCATATCGTTTAAAGCCCTTGACACTGTGAGCAGAGCACCAGCTATGGCAAGGGCTCTGAATCCTGCTCCAGGTGATGGGCCATTGCCCAGGCTGTGCTGCTAAGCTCTGCAAAGACATGTAGAAATGAGGTTAATAAGTTAAATAATTTAAGAGCTAAGTGTAGTCTATAGGCAGCATATGTAGCTGAGCGTGAGCGAAAGCTTGTGGCTTTCACAGCACTGAAGTTTCCAGCTTGCCTGGAGCACACGCGTGTTTCTCAGCCAGAAACAACCTTTCCCCTCCAGCCTGGGACTCCATTCGGTGTCGACGGATGGGCACAGACAGCAGTTGAGAGCACAAAGCTTGTACCCCACGGTGGGCAGTGCTCAGCTGCACAGTGCAGCCATGTGACTACTTGTACCTTATTTAGTCATCCCTTGAATCATTTTAATCTCTGAGACACAGGCAACTGCTTTTCTATATCCGATTTCTGTCAACTCTGGCCCGATTATTTTATGGGGAAGAAGAATTGTCTAGCTAAAGAATTAATGGATTCCTAGACTAATACCTGACAAAACTCCTGAGATTTAATACAGCGAGTAAGAATGTTAGATTGTGAAACTACCCCAGACTATGTCCGAGTCCCAGCCTAAAGGACAAAGCTGTATTGAGGAGTGTAATTTATGTAGGGACTTTTATACAATTCCTTTATCTTTACATGGGAGAGGAAGTGACACGGGGAAGATGCATGTGAGACAGGCATTGACAAGAGGGGGTTGTGACATGAAGTTCAGACTTGCTTCCACAGACTATAAGAAGAAAATTCTTGCTGTGTTCAGTGGAAGCTGAATTAAAGAAGGAGTTTAGGTCTGCCTCACTAAACACAGAGCCTGAGACACCCCTGCAGTATAAGTATACAGTTTCCACTTCGAGTCTGTAATTTTCTGCTAGGTGGAATAAAATCAACTTCCTGAATTCGCTGTTACTTTGGATTAGGTGAATAGATCTGTTGCTACAGGCAATGCATTCACAATTAGATCCATTCATTTGCCACGCTGCTTAAAGGGCTGAATCTTCTCCATGCATCTTTTATTTAATTTTAAATTACTTGATTAAAGCATATAAACAAAACCAGCCATTCTGTCCTCCCCCAAAAAAGAGCTATCAGATGTTCTTGGTATCAGTGTTCCTTCTTTTTTTCTGCATCACATCAGGACTTTTCCTAATATGCAGTTTTCTTACTGAAAGGAATGGCTGAGAGTTTACAACAAATTGTTAAATACATTAAGAAATACAGAGACAAATGCACTATATTTCATTTAGAACCTTTGTTCTGGGAAGGTTAGCTTTTTACAAATAGTCTATCAGGCCCAACATTCACAGACTGGTATTTTATACGGTTCTGCTACACTTTTTCTGATTCGAACATTCTTTTCTTTCTGTTTTTTTTTTTGTTTGTTTGTTTTGTTTTACATTAACAGCTGCAAAACTCTGAACAATTCTAATTTATATCTGTGGCTAATGATTTCAAGATTATTGTCTGTGTCACATACTAGTATATATTGCCACAATTTAGTGATTGCTTTAGTAATCTAATTAATTCATTTGCAATGCAGATCACAATTGATCTTGAATTTATTTTGCAGATTAAATAGTTCTATTAAAAAAAAATACCTGCTTTAAAAAAAAGTCAGTTATTTCTACCAGACAATTTTATGTTCAAGGTAATATATAGTGGATACTCAAAAATGAGACATATCACTAAGAAGACTAGGAAAAGCCCATAACAACAAAACTTGTGGTTAAATGTGAAGCCATTTCATATGCCTAATTAAAACTAATTAATCTTTTCAATGACACAATGGCATGCTTTCTACTCCTAAGTGGACAATACTCCAGGAAGTCTGAAACAAAATAAATTATTCTTTGCTTGTTTGCTACCTGGACAACGATCAATACTACCTCAGGGCAAACAGTCTATAGCCAATCTCTTGATGTAATTCAAATTGAAAAGAAAAATCTGCCTAATGGCAAAAACACATTAAAGGAGGAATTTGTGATGCAGTCTGTACATTAAAGTATCTACCCAGCATGTGTATTCATAAAGTAGGATTGCCCTTAAAGCTTCGTTAACACCATTAATTTAACTTCAAATTACCTTAGTGTGTGCAGTAATCACTACGTGGTTTTGTGCATTGAGTAACGAAGACTGCAAGTACGGAGGCTTTACATGCAGGTGCCTGAACTTTTGCTTCCTTAGTCATTAAATAATTTACTGGTATTCATCTGTCCTCAGCCAATGGGAACCAATTGGTGTAACTGCCTCCCAAAAGCGGCTTTCATAGTTTAGTGTCTCCCATCACAGTTAATTTAGAGCCAGCCTTCGTGTAATTAGTTAATGAAAACAACTGCAGAAATTTTTTGGGGTGATCACTTTACACTTTGAAGTCTTGTGGGTTTGAACTGCATTCCATTTGCTGTCCAGCCCATGCTGATGAAGAAGTGGTTGAGACCGTCTGGAGAACGCGCGTGTGTTCTGGTGTTTCTGGAGGGAGACAAGGGCTGCCGCAAGCGCAGCAGGGCTGGGTGCACGGCCGCTGGACACGGCACCGATGCCTCAGGTACAGTCATAGAATCGGTTGGGTTGGAAGAGATCTGTAACATCACCAAGGCAAATGGTTATCCAGCACTGCCAGGTCCCCACTAACCTCAGCACCACATCTCCACAACTTTGAAACCTCGAACGGGGGGCTCCACCGCTGCCCTGGGCAGCCTGGGCCATGCCTTGACAACCCTTCCAGTGAAGAAATTTTTCATCATATCCAAACTAAACCTCCCCCGGTGCAATTTGAGGCTGTTTCCTCCTGTCCTATCTATGTCCTTGCTCGTATAGGAGCAAGTCTTGGCAGGAGAAAGCCAATGCTGTTAGGAGTAGTGCAAGAACTGTTACAAAAAGAAGACAGAAGGTATGCTCACCTGTTTGAATGCACAAGAAACCTTTTCTGGGTATTTTTGAGTACTGCTAGTAAAACAGCCATTATTTGTTTTAGACAGTGATTGTTTCATGTAAAAGCAAACAAAATAACCCCCCAAAAGACAGATGATTGGCCCTTGATGAGACTAACCATGGAAAATTTAAAATCAGAAGAAGAATCTTGCTGAAACTTATGAGAAAACATGAGCTAAGGAGATCAAAGACTGTTTTGCAATCTTCATACTAAGGCTTGTTGCCATGTGAACAATCTCTTGCTATTTCTGAGTATGCTATAGAAAAAAGGAAATTGATACAGGGTAAAAATTTTGTTTAACTATGAACGTTTTTGCTAGAGAAATTAGAATGTTGGAAAGAAATTGTTACATAGCATTTTAAAGATTAATATAAAATTTGATTCCTTCAGTATACTTAGTAGACAGGTGCGTGTTGAAGAATTTTATTCAACAGTCTAAATGTGTGAATTTACACTGTTCTTATTTCTGGTAAGTAGAATGATAAACTTCAGCCAAAGGTGAAGTTCAGGGAGGTGGATACACAAGTGTATGTGTGTGTTATCAGAGGAGCCATTACAGCACAGATACTACTAGGAAATGTAACAGAGTGTGAAAGATGTTGGATAACAGGTGTATAAAAATTATTATTCAGAGTTGTTTCAATTTTCATAGTCCCCAGATTCATATTCTTCCTCATCTTCATCATCAGAATGGTCGTAATAGTCCCCATATTCAACGCTGTAGCTTGCACTTCTACTGCCAGCAGTAAATGCAGGAGATGAGCCTGCAAGACATCATCGAATCCAGATTAAATTATTGGTAGATAGGAAAAAAGATAAAAGTATGGGTTTGGATCTGTATGGCAAGCTCCGTCTTTCTGAATCCTTGTTATTTATTCAAAGGAGAGGGGTTTTATTCAATGACTTGACCTCATACCACTGAAGCTCTTGATAATGAGCAAATTTCTGTATAATTCACATTTTAAGATGCTGAAAATACATTTTGTTCCCAATACTGTTAAACTATTCAGTCCTCTGAGGATCCTATGCACTTGAAAACATGACCAGAACCAATAAATCTTTGAAAACCTCTTGCAGAAAAGGTCAGTGCCAAACTCCTCTAGACCAGGAGGCAAATATAAGACAATGCATCTTTATCCTGCCTTTGCCAGGAAACCAACTTCTCTCTGGAGAAAGAAGGGTGTTATTGTGCAGGACTGGGCCCACTGTAGAACAATAGCAAAGCTATTTCTTACACCTTTCCAAATGCTCTCATTAAGTAGCAACAAATATTTCCTTCCAAATTTTTTAAAAAAATAAACAGCTAAGCAGAACTGCCATGGTTCAGAGACTCCTTCAGCTACACCAGCTGTTGTTCTGGGTGCAGAGTTCCTGCTAACATCAAAGGACTTCTGTAGGCCAAGGATAGAGGAACAATGTGTCTCAGCTGTGTGGCTATAATCCACAGCTTTCTGTTTCCAGGAACATGGTATAATTTGCAGCAAAATGCTATAATATTAACCCATTAGGGGATAAAATAAAAGCACACAGAAAAGTTAAAATATGACCTCTTCAGGTAATTTCTTATGTCCTTCATTTGCATCTGACAAACCTATCCTTTGCTTCCTGCTTTTGTATGCATTTTTATACTCTTTACATCCAAATAATTTTAAAAAATTACCATCAATGACTTTCAATCTTGCAGAGGCGTATGTTGCACCATGCTTATTTTTAGTGTGGCAGATATAAACACCTTCATCTGATTTTTTGAGGCCTTGGATCTGCAGCCAGCCTGTCACACCATACTTCTGAGGCCCACCTCTTGCCTTTGAGAAGAGAAAGAAACAGTTGAAATTAAGTAGCTAGGAGACACCATGATATTTCTCAAAATAATTATGGATGGGTTAAACACTGTTACAACCTATGGTTTCTGTTTGCTGCCATCATGCTTTGATTCTGTTCATTCTTTGGTTTCATTCTTTGTTTCTGCTGCCCTATGTTTTAACTCATTGCTCCGTGCCTCTGAGTTCATGCTTTCCCATCTCTGCTCTTTAACCTTTGTTGCCCTTCACAGTGCTCTCATTCCTGTTGTTCCTCAGGCTGCTGATTCCCAGAGCGCCTCCTGTCTCTTGTCCCAGCACCATCTCTTTCTTCTCCTTCAAAGCATAGTCACCCACTCTCGTACTCCTAAATATCTTCCAGCTGAGAGTGGCAGGTGGGTCTGGGAAAGTTGTTCAGGGCCTAGGGGCCTGACCAAGCTGACTCTCAGCATCTAGGTTTGGCTGGCTGGGTATGACATACCATGAGCTTTCACACCTCATGACAATCAGTTTGATGCAGGCTAAAGCCACTCAAAGGGCTGAGCTTTCTTTTCCAAACAAATAACCGCAAAACATTAACAGATGTTAATGGAGATGCTGGATCTAGCAATGAGATAGGTTAACAGGGTTCAGTTTAGCCTCCAAGGTGGCCAGCATTTAGATGTGGCTGCTTTTGGGTTGTGCATCCAGAAAGTTTGATTTGCCAGACATTTCTCTGCGTGTAGTCTGTGTTCCTATTCTTTGTTCCTTGCGGAAGGCGTGCAGATGCAGGCTTCAGCCTCACGGTAGTCTACTGTTGTTTTCATCTAAAACAATTAGCATTTTGTGTTATTTAATTTTTAGCTCAAACTTTTAGGCTACTTCTAGATTTGCTTGAAGCCTATACTAATGCCATGCTTCACTTTCCCCCCAGATTAAAACACAGTGTCCTCCATAAAATGAGCAAGTTTCTTTGTTTCCTTTTGAACGCCTCAGGGACCAAACCCAAATGGCAGGTCTTCAGAAACATCATCTTGCAAAGGAGAAGTTTAGATAACTGTCAGAACAGTGCTTCTGCATCAAGAGTAAAAGAATCATTGCTGACAGCCATTCTTCCCAGAATGCAGCTTCTTCTAGGTGGTAGCCTAACCAGTTCCATTTAGATGTTCATTCATTTTTTCCAGAGTCATACATAAGGAGAATCTTCCATCTTTCCTTTCCCTGAAGCAGGTCAGGTGGTACCCTGGCTGTTATTTCCTCTGCTTTGACTGCCAAAGCAATGATCCTTGCACTGACTGAAATCATAATTTTATGTGTTCAGAAAGCCCCTATTGGGCATCTGTTTATTGCAACACTGTTGTGTTCTGTAGGAGGAGTTCACTGATCAGTTCCCCTACTCTTCATCCCAAACCATATGACATGGAGAACTCAAGTTTTACCTGTACCGAGATGTGGGCGTCATCTCCTGGCAGAAACATTTTATTCCCCTTTTTTTTCCATTCAAGGTGTGGCATAGGATAGGCTGACACCTCACAGCCAAAAATGACATCATTGCCTGTGAAATTCTGGACATCCTGAGGTGGCATAGAAATAACAGGTGCTGCAAGGAACCAAAAGAACAGTGCTTTAGAAGCCAGTGAGCAAAAACCAACACTAACACCTATAACATTAAATCCTACTTTAGGTGATAAAACCAGTTTGACTTTTGCCATCTCACACCTTATGAAGAGCCACATGATTGCAGACAGCTTCTAAAGCTCAGAACACTGTGTCCCCCGTTAAAGGGTGAACAGGCTTTTTAAAAACAAAGGACCTGTCTGTCATTTCTCTTGCACATGAAATTATAGCTGAAATTAAAGTCAAATTCATGTCCCATGAGCTGTTGCTGTGGCATAGACTTGAGGGCTACCACCAGTTGAGCAGCCAGTACTTGACTGAACCTTCAAAGGAAAGTACAAGAGATTCTATAGCAGACAATCACAAAGTAACTTGATTGTACATAATAGTTCTTAATTTCTGTTACATTTTTGTTAGCGTAAAAGCTAAAATACAGAGATTGCTAGCTTGTCAAAACCTGTTTTCTGAGTGCATTATTGCCCTGAACTTGCTTAAATCTTCTTCCGCTCTGTTACCCAGGGAGCTCATTGCAGCAAGTTACAGAACAGCAGCATGAACACATTTACCCTCAACTGCTATCAATTTCATCTGATGTTATCAGACAACTAATGAAAGTGATTGAAATAAAATTTTTAAAGTTTTTTCTTTTCGTGTTTATTAGAAATGATTGGATTTCCACTTACTTCTTTCCTATTGTTCCTTTAGCCTTATCTCCCTCCACTGTTTATTTATTCCCTCTGAATTGTCCCTTTCCCACCTTTTCCCCCCAAGAAAAAGCTGAAGTTAACCACGAGAGGGAGCCAGTCCAGCGACTGGAAAACATTGGAAAACAAACTATCACCTGATGCATGCATACATGATTTAATACATATCCCTCGATAAGCATGCATGAACATACTAAATGTTAACAGGTGATGATGATATTTAGCAGCAGAAAGCAAAATAACGTATTTACTGCTCCCACAGCTTTCCTGATTTGGAGAGCTCTGCTTTTTTTCCTGATCTATTTGTCTTCAGCAAGAAATGTTTTTCCTTCTAAAGTCTGTTTCCTTTCTAATTCCATACAAGTGTTTAAAAACAACTGCATTTCCTGGGCCATTAGACTTGTATGTAATTAGTGCTTTTATTTTTGTACAGATCCCAGAGGCTTGGAAATAGAAACTTGGAGCAAATAATGAATACTTTTTTACTTGCAATATTTGAATTAATATGCAGGTATGGCATTAATGCTTCATAATCTGAAATTGTAACAGCCTAATCCAGCTTTTCAAGCAAAATTCCCAATACATTTGTCAGATTTTCAGGACTGGTATCTGTGCAGAAAGTATAATAAAGCATAGTGATTAAAATTAATTGCAAACAGATTATACAGTAAGCTTTCAATTTCCCCGTTTCTGAATACTTCATTAAACAATCCTGCTGCGCCTCAAAAGTAAGATTGGCAAACTAGGATACTTAAACCCTTAAATGGTTGTACTTTCATGCAAACTGTACATTCTCTACAGTATATGATTTCAAAAATCTTGTCTTCAAATCAGCATTAACTGAATAGCTTGGCTGAGAATTTCTTTTGCCTATGAATTTATCACATAGTGTCTGATGTTAAAACATACTTTGAGACATTAAAACTCAGTGTGACCACCCTCCTTTTAATGGAACATCTACTGTAGTTAAGCTTAAAGCGTAAAAGAGACACCGGCTGTCTAGGTTGACTCCCAGAAGCTCTTTCAATTCTTCCTGTACAGAGACAGCATGAAAAACTTTTCAAATAGGCAGATTTTGACTGGCGGTGTTTTTATCCTGGTGCTAAGACAGGTGTCTATAGACACACTGGCAGCACCAAAGTATTGCCAAGAACCGAGACCTGCTTATGTGGCTGTCCCCAGCCGTGGTTCAGGCACGTGAGGCTGAGGGCTCTGGCTTCACCACCTGTGTGAGCCTCCAGGACAGACATAGCCTCAGCAAGTTTGCCGACGACACC